CGGAATAATGCATGGGTGGAAATCGCAGAGACGCTAGATTCCTCTCGTAAGTTCTCACTGATGGCTCTTTAAGGAGTTAGCTGAACATTTGTTACTGCTGAGTAGCAAGGCGATAGCGATGAAAAGTTTGTCGTTCAGCTCGACCCAATTTTTCTCACCCCAGTGCGACTGAAAACTAAACTAACTGAAGCCAAGCTAGAGCTCCAAAGTGACGTACACGCTATATCCAAAGGGTTACAGAGGGTGTGGCTGCGGCAAAGGTTCAGACAGAAGAGGGGGGGCAACAAAGTATGTGTAAGAGAGAAGAGTCGACACCGGTATACGCAGCCCCCGGCACGCCCCTTTCTGCTCTCTGGTATGGGACGTACAACCTCGTTCTTCTCAGGTCCCCCTCACAGAAAAAAATCTCACAGACAGGCGGGAAAGTCATCCTTCTCCCGGTCATACTGGTGCAAACTGTTCTTGGCAAAGCAAGTGCCTCTAGGCTTCTCAGTAACAGTCGTTTTCGCTGCAGAAGCTGGCGCGTGTCAGCCAAGCCGTGTTCGGCAGGGCGCCAACCAGTTCTCTACCAGTTGTTGAAGCGAGCAAGCGACATCAGTTGGTGAAAAACGGGCTGGTTCGGCCATACCCAGACCTCCTGACATGCCCTAACGTGTGCAGCGAAAACGACTGTACGGCACACATCGTCGGTTATTCCTCGACCACGCCGTGACCTGGTTGATAGACGGAGTCCCAATATGCTACCAGGGTGTCAAACCTGTGCCGAGAACTTAACGAGCGAGCTGTTGCACCCTATAAAAGTTTACAAAAAAATGAGGAAAAAGGGGAAAAAATTCAAAAACCTGAAGTGAGGAAAAAATGATTTTCAGCAGAACACGTGAAGACACGGTGGAAAACCCTGCGGGACCGTTTCAAGAAAGAGGAGAAAAAAGAGAAAATGACTGGAAAGCCGGCCACATGGGTGTTCCAGAAGCCACTACGGTTTATACAAACAGTGCCTAAAGAGCTGCGAACGTGAGTCATATTGTAGTTTCTTTTCCATTGCTACAAGATAGCTCCTTCACAATTTGATTCCCTTTCTAACCGCGGAAAAGCTGATAAATTTATTATGCGCGCGTAAAATCAATAACTATTTCAAGAATTTGCTCTTGTATTCCACATGAAATGCGAAACATAACTGACTTATCTGGAGCTTCTGGGCGAATGTTTGGGCTTTGGACGTTCAACTATTTGGCCTTTGAACTCTACCTTCAGCGCTCAGGGTGTACTGTACTGTACACGTAATTTTTCAGCTCTGATGATGGCACTATCAAGGATGAAGATAACGGACATATCTCTCCTATGGAAACGGCCATCTCCTTCATCAAGCAGGAGATGAACAGAGCTGCAGAAGCGGCAGCAGAACCATCGACTAGTGACGTTGTCGCCAACTCGCCGTCGTTGACGCCACTCTCCAATCAGGGTTTGTGATCCTTCAAAACTCATGAAACCGCCATGGCGCATTCCAAGCGCTTAGTCATCGCTGTGGTTTGCTGGTCACTGGTGCGACGCGGTTGCGAAGCAGCTTAACTCTAGTGCCTACTAAATAGTTGATAAATCTTCAACAACAGATTTGAAACCATAATCAGGCGGACGCGAAAATTCATGTGTATTGGTACATCTTAGATCCAAACAACAAAAGACCACTTCAACCTGATGGTCACTCCTCGCTAACAGAAAATTGGGGGGGCGGGAGGCATCATGTAGTGGGAGCACGCGACTTACCACACCAGTACCACTTGTCACATGCGTGTCGACATGAATAAAACGGTGACCTGTTATGGCCCCTATAAAGCTTCGAAAAGCTATGCAAACAAGACGAGATGATTAATAGGACTGTGTTGCTAGCGCTATTCTCTTGCCCCCTCCCGCCTCGACTACCCTCTTGCCCCAAAGCTCTAAGATTTGCTCAGCAGCTTTTTCCCATGCAAAAACGTGTAAACAGATTCAATGCTTCATGCGGACCGCATACGCACCAGTCATGCAGTTTTTGAGCATAGGCAACTTTCAACTCGAAATTTGAGCCTAGTAGGCAAGTTGAGATTATATTGAGGGTTGGTTGACGGTCTAGATCGCTCTGGTTTTTCGATTCCACCGTCTTAAAATATTTCAAGCATAAGCGATTCGAGTGCCGCCATAACCGTTCAACTTCCGCCCTTTAAATCGCTCACGTTATTTCGCTGGCCTCCTAATCATCGTAATCCACAAGGATTTATGGAAATACTACATTTAGCGTCTAATTCTCTAGAGGTGCGACTCTTTCGTATTAGGTTAAATCACGCCACGCTTTGCTCGTATGCCGTCTCAGCGAGACGATGTGGCTTTGCTACGTCAGAACATGACCGGGCTCAAGCCTCCCTGAATAAAGACCCCTCCCGAGGAACATAGCTCAGTTCTCACCTTTTATTCGTCTTCTATCGATGGCTAGTTCAGATCCCTGCGAACTGCCTCCACCAGAGAAGCGAGCCCGATATAGCCTTACAGAGCAGATGCTCCCAATACCTCCCACGTAAGTTTAGCCTCATACATTTATTATGCTCTTTATTTTGTTCCCAAAATGCTCTGGTTGCAGACGATTTCTTGCTCCGCCCATATGGCAACGAGTTGAGGATGAAGAAGAGGAGATGTTTGGACATTTAGTGGCGCTTCGACTCTCAAAACTCAGCACGAAAGCACGAGAACTGGCCAAGGTGGGGCATCACCTGTCTCGTCTGATTTCCCTCATAATCCATGCTGTTGCAGATGCGGGTCTTGCAAGTGTTATTCGATGTGCAGTTTGGCGCTGGCGCTAATCCCTCATCATGATCTCATTCGACGGTAGTCCATAGTATACCCGGCGGCAGTACTGCACTTAGTCCATTCCCCACTACCTTCGTATACAACGGAATCCTGACAGAAGATATCTCTATTGAAGATTTTTCTCAAGTTATAAACTTTTTAATTTAAAATGTTCTGTTTTGTCAACTGAAGACGGCCCTTCTCAAGTGGGAGGTGCCGCTCTACTTCTTCGGCAGTATTCAGCTCAGGGCACGCCATTGCGTTGTGATCATTTCCCGCTAATTACGACCCCCCCCAGAATTAGGGTCTTAATACGACCCCCCCCTGTCACGAGGGTACAAATGAAAAGAAGCGCAAAAGGGACGAAGAAAATGACAATAAAGAGAACTGGGCGCTATTGAACTATTCCTACGCCAAAAACTCAAAAAAATTTATGCTGAAACTTTGTCTATAGATGTTATTCGATGTCCTGATCACGAGGTTGTTGTATAA